GAGAAATTTCACTCAATTTCAATTAATATCTCCTGTGCTTGTGCTCCCATATTTTGTTATATATATATAAAAAAACAAGCATATGTTTAATATATTCTAGATGTTTTAAATAAAACTCATGAGCTAAGTTAGCTACTGTATACATTATGCATCTGTGCAATGTCCTTTTTAATTTAACATGACTGCTATTGTTCACTTGGTTTTCTAAAGACATAATCAATGTTGTTTGTCTCCATAACCATGACTAATGATAACAAATTAGTTTCTGCAAGAGTGACTTGATGTCTATATGCACTGATTTCTGGTTTAAACATTGGCAGCAAGCTCATTAAATTCATTCTATTTAGGATGTACCTGGCTGTGCTCCTTCGTGAATGAAGTCATTGCATTGAAAGCTAAATAATCATGACATATATGATGGCAGAGTTTGTGCTTTTTTGTGCAGTGCATTTTATTTTATTAAAGCAGTTTTCCAGTGACTTTTTATTTTTTAATCCACATTTGAGTATGATCTAATCTGTCAGATCCAACCCACCCTGCAGTCATTGAACAGAAACATCAATGTGGATAGACTTGCATACGACGAGAAAATTTGGCTCGGCGGAACCGTTTTTTTCCAAAAACAGGAAATATGTCAGGACACCTAAATGTTGGCCAATTGAAAGTTTGGTATCCCAGAATTTTATTGTGGAAATCGCAGTATGGGAACAAAAACAGACGAGCCAAAAGGGTGTGAAAATATGCCAATCAGTGTACTGCAAAATATATACATTATATATATATATATATATGTGTGTGGGTGTGTGTGTGTATATATATATATGGTGTGCAGATTTTTGTTTAACATTGTATTAACTATCCACAGACTTCAGGTGGAAGGGGTTTTCAATCACATTTTTTCCCCACCATAACCTATTTGGATTTTGCTTCCCAAGCACTACCAAGCCTCAATAAGCAAAGCAGTAATCAACCTCATGCTGATGAGTTGCATTAACAACGAAACAGCTGTCCATGAGTGGTTCACTGGTTTTGCATCTTTTCCTAAATTGTGTTCCAAGCAGTTGTATACTGCAAACACAGATTAAAAGGAATCCATGTTTAAAATGGAATGAGGCAAAAATGTGATTATTTAATTAACTAATTTGCATATGCCCACCCAGAATCCTTTGCGGTTGTAACATCACTGCAGATTTGGGATTTCTGTGGGAAAAGCAAGTCTTATGGCTTGACTGGTGTGCAGATTTTTGTTTAACATTGTATTAACTATATATATATATATATATATATATATATATATATATATATATAAGAAATTGTAACAATTAGCTTGTAAATTTCAAAATACAAAACTGCACTAAATATGTTCTCTGTTAATCTAGCATAATATATAAGAAATCGTAACCATTAGCTTGTAAATTTCAAAATAAAAAACTGCACTAAATATGTTCTCTGTTAATCTAGCATTAGAATTAGAAATTATGTACAAATATTGTATTAATAATGTTATAATCAAAATTATTTAAGAAGATTTTTTTTCAAAGGCATCATATAAGCCATTTGCACAATTACAAAATAGAATAGATTCATAATGATACAATTGCCAAATTATATTATATATATATATATATATATATATATATAATTATTATTATTATTATTATGATATTTATATAGCGCCATCAAATTCCACAGCGCTATACAATGGGTGGACGAACAGACATGTAGTTGTAACCAGACAAGTTGGACACCCCAGAACAGAGGGGTTGAGGGCCCTGCTCAATGAGCTTACATGCTAGAGGGAGTGGGGTAAAATGACACAAAAAGGTAAGGATAATATTAGACTAGTGACAGTTGCAGAAGAGGAATCAGTCAGGAGCAATTAACAGTTTAATTGATACGCTTTTATGAAGAAGTGGGTTTTTAACGATTTTTTAAGGAGTGGAGACTGGGTGAGCATCTAACGGAGGAGGAAAGACAGTTCCACAGGAACGGTGCAGCCCTCGAGAAATCTTGAAGGCGACCATCAGAGGTGGGAGTACAGACAGAAGATAGACATAAGTCTTCAGCAGATCGTAAGGGCCTAGACGGGACATACTTGTGTATAAGGGAGGATAGATAGGTGGGAGCAGCATTATGTAGAGATTTGAAAGCAAGAACCAGAATTTTAAATTGAGCTCTATATTTTATAGGAAGCCAATGTAGGGACTGACAGAAGGGTGAGGCATGGGAGGTGCGGGCGGACAGGAAAATGAGCCTCGCTGCCGCATTCATTATGGACTGTAATGGCGCAAGTTGGGAGCACGTAAGACCACTGAGAAGCGGATTACAGTAGTCAAGGCGAGAAAGGACAGTGGAATGGACCAATACCTTAAACACATCTGAGATGGAAATGACAGTATTTGGTGATAGATTGAACATCAGGCTTGAAGGAGAGGCTGTAGTCAAAGAGAACAACTAGGCAGCGAGCCTGCGTGGTGGAGCTGATGGTAGCACCGTTGACTTGGAGGGAGACAGACACAGGAGTAACAACACTTGAGGGAGGAAAGACCAGAATTTCAGTTTTGGTCAAGTTTAGTTTAAGGAAGTGGGCAGCCATCCAGTTAGAAATAGCAGAGAGGTAGTCAGAGACATTAGTCAAGAGGGACGGGGAGAGATCAGGAGAGGACAGGTAGATTTGCGTGTCATCTGCATAGAAATGATATTGGAAGCCAAAGGAGCTAATGAGTTTACCAAGGGAGGCAGCATAGATGGAGAACAGTAGGGGACCAAGGACTGAACCTAGGGGGACACCAACAGAGAGGAGTTGGGGAGAAGAAGCAGAGCCAGCGAAAGAAACACTGAAAAAGCGTTGGGAGAGGTAGGAGGAGCACCAGGAGAGAGCAATATCTTGTAGACCGATATTGCGGAGGATGCAAAGAAGCTGTTGATGATCAACAGTGTCAAAAGCCGCAGACAGGTCAAGGAGAATTAGGATAGAGTAGTGACCACGAGATTTTGCAGCGAGTAGATCATTGGATACTTTGGTCAGTGCCGTTTCCACAGAGTGCTTAGCGCGGAAACCAGACTGAAGCAGGTCTAGCAGAGAGTTGGACTCGAGGAAGTCTGTCAATCTCGCATACACAATTCTTTCAAGGATCTTGGATGCAAAAGGCAGTAGCGAGATAGGACGATAGTTGGATGGGGAGTTAGGGTCAAAATTGGGCTTCTTTAGAATTGGGGTTACAGTTGCATGTTTGAAGGGCGATGGAAATATACCAGCGGAAAGAGAGAGATTGAGAATTTTAGTGAGAGGTGGTGAAAGAGAAGAAGACAGAGTACGGATGAGATGTGAGGGAATTGGATCTAGGGAGCAGGTGGTGGGGCGGGAGGACTGGAGCAGAGCAGAAACCTCTTCCAATGTAGTGGGTGCGAATGAACATAGAACAGCAGAGGGAGTGAAGTTAGGGGAAGTATTGTAAGGGGAAGAAGAAAGATGAGAGATCTCTTCTCTGATTGTAGAGATCTTGTCAGTGAAGTGAGTTGCAAAGTCTGAGGTGGTCAAGTTAGTAGGTGGAGGAGGAACAGCAGGGCGAAGAAGAGAGTTAAATGTGTGAAATAGTCATTTGGGTTCGCAGGAGAGTGTGGTTATGAGGGTATTGAAGTAATTAACTTTTGCAGAGGAAAGAGCCAAGCTGTATGAGCTCAGCATAAATTTATAGTGGAGAAAGTCAGATGCACAGTGAGACTTTCTCCAACAGTGTTCAGCAGTTCTGGAGCATTTTTGGAGGTATCGAGTGAGCTTGGTGTGCCAGGGTTGTTGTTGGGGGGGCCTGCGGCGTTTAAATGTACAAGGTGCCATGATGTCTAGTTGAGAGGAGAGGGTGGAATTGTAGAAGGAGGTTGCAGAACTAGGACAGGTGAGGTTTGAGATAGGTAAAAGGAGAGTTTGGAGATTAGTGGAGAAATGCTCTAGGTCAAGACATTGGAGGTTTCTGTGAGAGTGATGTTCAGACGGTGGTGTCAATTGGGTCTTAGGTATGCCAATGTCAAAAGTCAGCAGATGGTGGTCAGATAGAGGAAAAGGAATATTGGAGAGATTAGAGGCAGTACAGAGGTTGGTGAAGGCAAGATCAAGAGTGTTTCCTGCTGTATGGGTTGCTAAATTGGACCATTGCGTAAGGCCAAAGGAGGAGGTTACAGAGAGCAGACGAGAGGCATCAGTGCAATTGGGGTTATTGATTGGGATATTGAAATCCCCAAGTATAAGGGAAGGAGTGCTAGATGAGAGGAAGTGGGGAAGCCAGGAAGAAAAGTGCTCAATGAATAGTCTAGGATAACCGGGGGGCGGTAGATGATAGCAATTCTTAAAGGAGTGGGTTTAAATAGGCAGACAGTGTGAACTTCAAAAGAAGAAAAGGATAGGGCAGGGGGAGTTATGATTGGTTGAAAGGTACATTGAGGGGAGAGAAGGATGCCTACGCCGCCTCCTTTACAGTTGAGTCTGGGAGTGTGAGAGAATTGTAGCCCACCAAAACATAAAGAGGCAGGAGTATCGCTATCAGAGGGGGACAGCCAGGTCTCTGTAAGTGCAAGCAGTGTGAGTGAGTTTGAGATGAAAAAGTCATGTATGGTTGTTGATTTTAAATTATTGCAGATGGAGCGGCCATTCCAAAGTGCACAATGAATGTTGGTAAGTGAGGGTAAAGGGCAGGGTATTATGATGAGGTTTGTGGGGTTTCTGGTTTTCTTAGTGTGTGTAGAGAAGGTGAAGGGCCCTGGATTGGGAGAGACATCACCATCTGCTAGAAGTAGGAGGAGAGAAAGTGACAGGAGGTGTGAATGGGTTTTGTATGCATGGGGTCTAGGATGATATCGATTGTGGGTCGGAGTGAGAGAGTAGAAAAATGAGTGTAAGGCATGAGATGAGAGAAGGGGGAGTGTAGCAAACTGGCTGCACTCACCTGAACATGCATAAATGGTGTGCTGCTGGGGGCCAAATAATACAATGCACAAGAGTGAGTGCGCTGGATCTTGTGTGCTTTATATATATATATATGTATATATATATATACACATATATATATATATATATATATATATATAAAGCACACAAGATCCAGCGCTTATAGGATGCCTTTGAATATGTATATATATATATACATATTCAAAGGCATCCTATAAGCCATTTGCACAATTACAAAATAGAACAGATTCATAATGAAACAATTGCCACCAAATCATTTATATGTATATATATATATATATAAAAACAAGAGGGGGGGGTTGGCTGCACTCACTTGAACATGCATATATGGGGTGCTGCTGGGGTACAAATAATACAACACACAAGAGTGAGTGCGCTGGATCTTGTGTGTAATATATATATATATATATATATATACACATATATAAATAAATATATGTATGTGTGTATCTCTCTCTCTCTATATATATATATGTGTGTGTGTGTGTGCAGTACACAGATTGAAGCATTTTACTGCCATTTGGTTTATAGTTCAAGTGAGGAAAAAGTGACCAATAGAGAGAAAAACAGGAGGAGCATTAATTAAACAAATCTATATTTGTATATTATATACATAAAATATAGACAGTTGGGTTCAAAAGTTTGCAAACCCTCTGAGAATTGTTAACATATGTACCATTTTTATAGAAAATACGAGTGAGCAGGCAAAACACATTTCTTTTATTTCTTTTGGGATTTATATTCAACTGTAGGTTATAACAGAATGACACAATCATGAAACAAAACATGGCAAAAAAAAAAAAAGAAATGAAATAACCCCTGTCCAAAAGTCTGCATACCCTTAGTTCTTAATACTGTGTATTTAGCATCAATACCCTTTAGCATTAATGACAGCGTGCAGTCTTTTGTAATAGTTGTCTATGAGGCCCCTAAATCTTGCAGGTAGTATACTTGCCCTTTCCTCTTGGCAATGTGCCTGCAGGTCATGCAAGGGCATCCGCAGGAATTTTTTCACAGGGGGGGGGGGAGGGGACATAATTGACAGGCTTGACTTCCAATTCTTTGAGCAGACACTCCTCCTTTTTCGGTATGTTTGTCCCTTTCGGGAGTTTTGGTTACATGATCCGCGTTGGTTGCCCACCCTTTTACACCGACGGTGTAAGAGGGTGTAAAAATAGCTTCTGTCTACTAGTAAGAAGTTAAGAAGACAAGTGGACATGTGAGTGCAAGGGGACAGTCCTTAGAAAGCATGGAGCAAGCACATCATTAGACGCATTTATGCCAAGCTCAGGATGCTGTTGACCAGCATGCATGATTGGCAGGCAGCCTGACATGCATTCATGCCAGGCTAGCCTTTCAATTCTTTGGGCAGACACGTTTCCTTTTTAGGCATGTTCGTCCATTTCGGGAGTTCTGGTTACATGATCCGCGTCAGTGGCCCACCCTTTTACACCGCCCATTGACTTCCTGATTTACTGGACACTGCTGTTAGGGTGTATGAATTTACTTGAAAGATGAAAGCATGAATTAGAGATTAGCATATTTTCTGTTTCTCTCTGGCAACATCTCCACCAGATACATAACACTTGAGAGGTATGACTGTTTTAGTGTTTTTGGTTGATAAGATTCAATACTTAGGCCCCTCATAATTGTCAGCACCAGGCCCACTGGGCTCTTAATTTGGCCCTGTGTATGATGAGTTCAGGTTTTGAAATTTCAAGTCCTAAAACACTAGTCTGGCTTTAAAAGTTACTAACCACTGCAAGCCTGGATGGCCCATGTCACACTCGCCAAGAACAAATTTGTACTCACCAGAGCTACATTTTTAATCACCAATGGCTGGTTGCAACTGTACATTTTAAACCATGATGAATGATGGCCCTTGAGCTTTTCTAAGTAACCGTAGTGACAGTGCTCATGACATACATAAGACTTTGTTGTCATTGGTGGCAGTGGAGTAACGGGGAACTGAACAACCCTTTAAAAAAATTTAAAATGTCCCTTTTAATCAATTCTATTTAAAATACCCAAAACAGGGATGTGAAAATAATAATCAGACATGTCCTAATGCATACTTGTTCACTGTGTATATATACAGGTATAGAATAATAGCTATGGGTGGAGAGCAAAAACTAAAAATGAAAGCATGGGTCCGTCTGTTTAATAGCCACTGACAGAGTGCTAAGGGTGGAAAAAGCCAAAAACTGATAAACCGATGGTTCCCTGGAAGAGCCAGCACTTGGTGAAACGCGTGTTGGGAATTTGTTGGCGGAGATCTTGGCACTTAGACTAGGGACATTGGATTGGTACCTTTATCAGATTAGATTAGCCACTCCGCCAAGATATACCTTCATTTACTTTTTATTTTTTTGTTGTATATTTTTTTTGTTATGTGTTGCTTTTTTTTATGTGATGGAAGTAGTGCTATTCTTTGATTTCGACTTGGAAGCCCTTCAGGGGGAATGTGGGAGGAGGCTTGAGCCTTAGACCTTTTTTAAGGGGTGCACGATAGGGCACTAGCTCGTTAGGATCGGTTTATCCATTTTTGACTTTTTCCACCCTTAGCATTCCGTCAGTGGCTATTAAACAGACGGACCCCTGCTTTCATTTTTAGTTTTTGCTCTCCACCCATAGCTATTATTCTATACCTGCATATATACACAGTGAACGAGTATGCATTAGGACGTCTGATTATTATTTTCACATCCCTTTTTTGGGGGGTATTTCAATTAGAATTGATTATAAGTGAAGATTTAAATTTTCATTAAGGGTTGCTCTCCTTTTTCTTAGAGGGAAGACTTGAGAAGTGTGGACAATTTATCATCTCCCATTCTCTCCTACAGTTATCTTATTAATTTTGTATTTATGTATAGGGGTTACCCCCCATTCCTACGAGCAACCTAACACATTCTCCCTGCCTAGTTCTTTCTCTTTAATGGGGAACAGAATCTTCATCTTTCATGCACAGATCGCTGAGAATGATCCACACTGCTTTCCAGGTTTTTCGAATGGAGGCTGCATAGTATATTATGTCACATATTGCAACTCAGTTTCAGCTAACATAATGTCATCCACTGTAGACAATGGATAGAAAATGATCAGTGATTTTTTGAATAGTACTAGGTTTCAGTACTAAGCATTATGTTTAAGAATAGCAGTGGTAGCCTAAATGAGAGACACAATAATGGGGCAGTGCCCCCATACCAACCGGTCAGACAAGAACGCATACTTAATTAGAACATGGACACAAACAATTAGTCATATTCATTCTTAATTAGCTACATATATAACACCTAATGATCTGCACAATCACGCATACCTTAACACAAAACTATGCATACTTAATAATTGCATACATGTATACAAGCATTAGCAATGGCTATAATGATCATCGCCCCAAATAATTATAAAAAATCCCAAATCCATTTTTAGAACACAGGGTTTTAGTACAACTGCAATGGCCATTATAGTGTAAGCTCATCTGCCACCCCACATCAATGATAACAATTTACCTTGCTGCATTCAGCTATAAGACATTTTTTTAAATTACCTTATATATACATATATATATATATATTTATTTATTTTCACTTCAGTTAGAATATTATGCATTTCAGTATAGACTCCAAGTGCACATTATAGAATTATAATAATTATCTAACAATTACATGTAAAAAAATTTTTGACATTTGAATGTTTTTTTTTTTACATGGAATGCCTGTTCGATTATGAGAAAAAGCAAAATGTATCAATAACTTCAGAAGACACTAGATGGCGACAGTATTTCACCTTGTTCAAGCAAATCTTTCTGGCATATTTTTGTTTCAATAACGGCAAATAAAAGTTACATTCTCCTATATAATATCATTTATAATATATAAGAAATCGGAACCATTAGCTTATAAATTTCAAAATAAAAAACTGCACTAAATATGTTCTCTGTTAATCTAGCATTAGAATTAGAAATTATGTACAAATATTGTATTAATAATGTTATAATCAAAATTATTTAAGATTTTTTTTCAAAGGCATCATATAAGTTATTTGCACAATTACTCTATTCTCCATATACATACTTAATTTGGCACAATGTACACTGGGCAACACACAGGTGCAGACTGAGGGGAAGGGGGAATCATGGGAAGTGATCGTCCCAAGAAGAGAGCCTTCCTGTACAGTTAAATCTTATGTTTGCTGTGACAGTTAAGGAACAATACAACATAGCACCAGAACACTATAGAGTCATGTATACAAATATATATTTCTGATCCTATAGTGTCAAAAACCCTATTTAGGTGGCCGGCCTTTCTTTACACTCCTTAAAAATTGTTAAAACTTACTTTTATTCCAGCATTGTGCAGCACTGACTCATGAAGCACTTCTAGTGGCTGTCTGAGTGACTGTCACAAGAGGTTTCCCTAGGCCCTAATGTAAACACTGTCTTTTCTTTGAAAATTGAGTGTTTACATTGAAACACCCACAGGGACAGACAGACACCAGAACAACTACATTAAAGGGACACTATAGTCACCAGAACAACTACAGCTTATTGCATTTGTTCTAATGAGTAGAATCATTCCCTTCAGGCTTTTTTTCTGTAAGCACTGTCTTTTCAGAGAAAATGCAGTGTTTACATTACAGCCTAGTGATACCTCCACTTGCCACTCCTTAGATGGCTGATAGAGTTGCTTCCTTGGGCAGTGGTGCAGACTAAGCAGCACTGCCATTCAGTGTCTCCACACTCTGCATGCAGACACTGAACTTTCCTCATAGAGATGCATTGATTCAATTCATCTCTATGAGGAGATTCTGATTGGCCAGGGCTGTATTTGACTTGTGCTGGCTCTGCCCCTGATCTGCCTCCTTGACAGTCTCATCCAATCCTATGGAGAAGCATTGTGATTGGCTTAGACCACCACTTCTGATGATGTCAACAGACAGAGGCAGCAGCTTCAGACTTGAATACAAGTAAGATTTTACTATATTTAAGTAGTCAAGAGAGGGCCAGCGGGGGCTAGATGGTGGGTTTAACACTATAGGGTCAGGAATATATGTTTGTGTTCCTGAACCTATAGTGCTCCTTTAAGCTGTAGTTGTTCTGGTGACTATAGTTTACCTTTACGATTAGTAGAGCTTGTC